TTGTTTGTAAATAAAATTACGTATCCTTGTGTCACAAATTAAATAAGGAACAAAGCTAACGTAGCTCTTATTTTGTACTTGTTTGGAAATTTCTTGGGGGCTTGAACATGTCTTGAGAAAACTAAAATTGATTTTACAATTAAATTGTAGTTTCTAAAAAAACAAAGAAAAAAAAGTTGTATTGCCTATGTATCCCAAAGGAATCAAATTCCACTTAGTTCTTAATAGACGTACTGGATTAGTGTACTGGTTAAGCTAGCGTGCTCGGGCATGCAAAATGGGCCATTATATTTGGATTTATTGGGAGTTTTGGGTGGGTTAGTGTGTTGAATACTTGTATGGGTTGTATCACCAGGGGGCCGTCCCAGTTGATCAGCCTGATCAACGAAATACTACCTTCGGTTTTTTTTATGTGCAACTTTGACGCTTTTTGCGGTTCACGAAGCAAAAGATTGAAGGGCAAAGATTAATAAAAGTGAGTGGATTTAATTAAAGGAGAAGGAGAGAGAAAGTGTGGCAACCCACAAAGTATTTTGGTGGGAAAATCTGGCCAAAAGTACAAAGCCAAATTTTCCCCCTCAATTGAATCTGCCAAAAACAATAATCAAATTTTTCATGTAAAATTTGTTTCCCCCCATTTTTTCAAAAAAATCTGCCAAACTGAAATTTTTTTAAATTTCAAGGGAGGCTATAAAATCAGTCTCCTTTTCGACTTTGCCCCCAAAATTTCAACATTTAATGAGGCTATAAAGGCAGCCTCCATTGTCACTAAATTAATTACAGCCATTAATGTTAGCAGATGGGTGAAACATTCCAGCAAAAATCAGAGTTTCATCCCAAAAAATTACAGATTTCTACGTTCACCGCTACGGTTAGTTTAATTACACACTAACTACACTGTTCAAAGATTTACAAAAAAAGGCTGCTCTGCTGTCATTGAAGCACATATGGGTATCATCTTCATCTTCATCTTCACTCCTGCAAAAATCAGCAGGCCCCTCATCATCATCTCCCTGTGCTGATTAACACAAACACATGGCAGAGTATGGTGATTCTGTTTTTTTCGATGTTGAACACATACTAAATGAAGAACAAATGTCAGAGTTGTGGTTTGAAGAAGAAGAAGAAATGCAGGATGCAGGCTTTTGGGGGTATGAATCAGAAGATGACAACATAGATGGTAGCCAAGACAAAGAACAACAACATTCACATAGTGAAGGTGAGGTTGATTCCTCACAAATGCAACAACAACCATAACAAATGCCACAACAACCACAACAAATGCAACAACAACCCCAACAAATGCAACAACAACCCCAACAAATGCAACAACAAATTGTATGCAGGAAGCAACTGCCAATGCAAAAGAAAAGGCAAATTGTAGATGCAATATTGGTGAAAATGAACAATGGCAGATTACCTAGGGGTCACTTGAAGCAGTTATCAACTCAATTCAACGTACACAAATCAACAATAACAAGAATATTCACAGATATAAACAAACAGCTGGCAGAAGGGGACTTGATTGATGTCAGGACTAAAAAAATTGGCAGAACAGGGAGAAAGCCAATGGAAATTTCTGATGAAATTCTACAGTCAGTCCCATTACATTTAAGGCAGACTGAAAGGAGTTATGCAGGAGCACTGAAGATCAGTCATAGCACAGTTCACAATTTGAAGAGGAGAGGAAGGCTAAGAACACACACAGCCTGCAACAAGCCAACACTGTCATCAGACCATAGGGTGGCCAGACTTAGATGGATTTTGTCACACATAAATCCATTTACAGGAAATCAGGACCCCACATTTGTTGACATGAGGAATGTCATACACTGTGATGAGAAGTGGTTCTACTTGAACCCTGATAAAAGGAGGTTTTATCTGCTGTCAAGTGAGGAGGATCCTTATATGGCAGTTCAGTGAAGAAGATTCAAGCTCAAGGCAATGTTCATGGCAATTATAGGGAAGCCATTATATGGCATAAATGGAGAAATGTTACATGATGGGAAGTATGTCATCTTCCCATTCACTATGCAGCAATTAGCACAGAAATCAAGCAAGAAAAGGCCATGAGGGACTTTGGAAACAAAGGCACTCCAGAATATAAACAGAGAAGTTATCAGGGAGATGTTACTCACAAAAGTTATCCCAGCCATCAAGTCAAAGTGGCCAGAAAGTCTGGCCAAGGATGTGGTAATCCAATGGGACAATGCAAGGCCTCACCAAGTTCCAAGGGATGCAGAGTTCATTGAAGCTACTACCACAAATGGTTTCAACATTCAATTTATTTTTCAGCCAGCATAATCACCTAATTTGAATGTGCTTGATTTAGGGCTGTTTAGGTCTATACAATCATTGCAATATCAGTCTTTTCCTAAAGACTTAGATGAGCTAGTCCAAAAGGTGAAAGACTCTTATGACACATTCAATCCAGAGGTTAACAAGTACATCTGGGTTACTTTGCAAAATTGCATGATTAAAATACTGAAGGCAGAAGGTGGTAACAAGTACAAGATTCCACATATGAACAAGAAAAAGCTTGAGAATATTGGCATTCTACCAGAAATAGTTGTAGTCAAGAAGGAGGTAGTAGTGGAGGTTGTGGAGTATCTAAACACTATGTTTAGGCCAGCTAATCAGGGGAATGAAGAAGTCACAGAAGAATTGGAGGTGGATGCAGATTAGGGGACTCAATACAAGAAAAAGACAACATATGTACTGCCACACATAACCACTTACCTATGTAAGTTTGTTTATTTGTGTTTTATTTCAAATGTTGAATTACCAAGTGGTTAGGTGTATTTTGTTGATTACAATTATCAAAACATGTAAGGCAGTATGTTGTAAAGTCTTTAGATTATGGTATGGTCTTTTGTAATGTGCTTTCTTAATTACTCAAAGGTATGCTCTTTTGTACCCATATTTTAAATGGTAGCAATGAATGACAAAACAGACAATTTATGGGGCCATTCAATCCATCAGAGGAGTTAATAGTCATTGTTGAATACTACACTAATGCACAAGGGTACCTCAACAACAACAGCATTATGCATGTTGTTGGAGCAATTCACTTGTGCTTAGTCAAATTCAATGGAGTCCCTTCATCATGTGGATTTGGGTAAGGTGAATGTCAAATCAAATTATGGGACTCAAAACAAACCAGGGTACAGAACCTATTAACAGGGGACTCATTGTAAGGGACTGACTAGGCAACAATGAACATGTAGAAGATACCAGCCTCATCATTCATCAATCAAATCAACTTTGCCAACATAGTCCATCCCAAGGAACAACAACACAATCATAGCCACACAGCCAACATGGTCCATCCCATTTAACAACAGAACTTTCAAACAACGCACCCAACATCATACATCCCAATCAACAAAAACACAATAAACTCAACACAGCCAACCTCAAACATAACCCAATTAAGTCCATGGCAGTCAACAACAACACAATCAACTACACACACCCAACACAATACATAAGCCAACATAGTCCATGCCAATCAACTCACTTCCAAATCATCAACATAAAAATCACTACGAATTGGAGTATTTGAAAGCCAATACATTCCAACAAAAGAAGAGAACAAGCAATTCATACAACGTCATTAAATATACTCAACCAACCCTAGTATCCATACACGCATCAACCCATCAAATTACCAATAGTACACAGAAAAATAACATAACCCAGGGTAACACCAAAAACCCTAAAACCCATCATGAAACCAGATCTAGTCAAACATTCCCACAACAACAACCAAACAACAAAGCAAACCAATACAGTATGGCAAAAATAAAAAAATTAAGGAGAATTTTTTTAAAAAAATAAAATTAAAGAGTTAGGGTTAGGAAGAGTTACGTAAGGGTCAGTGCTCAGCCTCCTCATCAGAGGAAAGCACGATGAAGTCTCGCTCCGGCAAACCCCGAATACGCCTCAGAGCCACCAACGCCGCCTTCCTACGTGGCCTAATCTTCGCCGGTGGCCTGGAAGGCTCAGATCGGGCCTTGGGAGGGGGCGCAGCACTGCCATCCTCACTTTGGGACCCTAGATCTACACGAAATACATCAAAATCAAGCTTTTTGTGGCCACGGGACTCGCCTACACCCTCCTCCTTCGATTTCTGCTCAACCTCATTAATATTCTTCAGAACTTCCCCTAATGCCTTGAAAGTGGTCGACAAACAACAGCTTGGCCCATCTTCATGTGCGTATAGGTGACGGGGAAAATCATCGCCTCTGTTGATATCATTAATGAGGGACTTGATAAGAGTGGCCTCGCTGTTGTCGTCGGTGCCAATGTAGGCGTCAATTAGTGGATCAAGGTCTTTCAGGGGAATGGTGGCATCTGGTTTTCGAAGCAAAGGTGAGGGAATGGGAGATGTCATGATGTAAACTGGAGAGGAAGGCAAAAGAAATGAGGAAGGCGACATAAAGGAGGAAGGCGAAAGAAAGGAGGAAGGCGAAAGAAAGGAGGAAGATGAAGAACCAGATCTAGGGTTCTTCAGAAGAAGAATCTAGATCACTTTTAATCAGGTGGTTGGGAAGATGGAGAGTTGTGTCGGTTGGGAGGAATAAATGGAGGGAGTGATTAGATTAGGGTAATTTAGGTTAATGGAGTCAAGTGGGGGTTATGGGTAATAAGGGGTAAAAGTATAAAAATCTGAATTTTTAATTAAGGGTAATATAGTAATTTTCAGTATTTTTTTTGAACCCAAAATAGATATAAAAGAGAAAGTTGCACATAATAGTGAGCGGAATAAAATGGCAAAAGTTGCACATAAAAAAAACCGGAGGTAATATTGTTAATCAGCTGCATTTGTGGGCCCTTCCTCACAAAAAATATTACTTTTATATTGATATGTACTGATGGTGACCTGGATAAGATGACAATCAAATTTCCAACGTTAGAAAGGCTGTTAGTAATGTCGTTTCATCCTAAACTAACGGCCCATCCCACCCCAGCCCCCCCCCCCCCCCCCCCCCCCCCCCCCCCCCCCCCCCCTAAAAAAAAAAGAAAAAAACTCAAATTGCCCATTGGAAGAGACGACAGAGCTCGCACCAGAGAAGATGTTGTAGATCGGTCAGCTAGCTTAAAATCAATCGACATTGCATTGCTCAATAAGGTCGGTAAGTTAATTCCTTGCTCGTCTCCTTAAATTGTACCTTTTAGTTATAATTTGTTTACGATATCAGTGAAATTGTGTTATGTAATTGCTCTGAAAGCAGACAGTGGTGTCAATTTCACATAAATTCAATACAATAATTGCAGGATTAATTGATGGAATCATGAGTTCGTGTAATGTAGGGTTTAGGGTTTAATCGTATATTATTGCTTAGAATTGGTTTTTCCACTGATTTAGGTTTGGGATTGGATAATTTCCCTGGTTGTGTTGAATTGAATTTAAGTGTTGAATTGAATTTAGGTTGTGTGGCAAATATTTGGTCTGCTGTTAATTTTGTGCTTATTAAATTTTGCGATTTATAGTATCTTTTAAATTTTTGATAAGTTATGTTGTCAAATATGTGCACTGCTATTAATTACCCAATTGTGAATATAGGGAAAAGTAATGGAAAACAATGATCTTCAACTGAATTCTGTTGAGGAGGTAGGGCATGTTACCTTGTCTGATCCAGTATCGGAGTATTTAGTTCCTGCCATGGTTTCTGAAGCAGCGTCCGTCTGAAGAATGTGCCCCTAGTGCTATAGTGTCTCCAATGAAGACTATACAGACAGTTGTATTAACTAACAAAGTTTTTGTGTATTCTTGGATTGAAACTCCTAGAGTTGGCATGGTATTTAAATCGTGGCAAGATGTGGAATGCTACTTTAAACAATATGCTGAGCAAAAAGGATTCGGTGTCACTAGGGCTCAAGGATATCTTTCCAAGAAGGATAAGGAGAGGAGGGGGGCAACATGGAAATGTGAATGTTGGGGTCATCCAGAGATGAGGGCTAAGGCTATGGATGTAAGTGGGACTAGTGCTGATGTAGATGGAGTTGTTGTGGAGGATGAGCTTGCGCGTGGGAAAAGAACATCCAAGAAATGTGAATGTGAAGCAAAAGTTTATGCTAGTGTGAATAATGAGGGGCTTTGGGTGTTGAGAAAGGTTCTCGTTGATCATAACCACAAAGTATCCCCTGGCAAGTCCAAGTTAGCGAAAGAATACCGTATGAAGAATTGTACTACCAATGTGAGAAAGAATTTGATTAATTACTTTGATGAGGGTGTCCCTGTTTCACAAATACATGGATGCTTAGGCATGGGTAAGGATGGTGAGAACATGCCAACAGTGAAGGATTTACAACATGAGGTGTACAAGGAGAGGAAAGCGCGGTTGAATGTGGCCGGTGGCGATTGTGCTACTATGATGTAGTATTTTGAGAAAATACAAGATGATAATTCCAATTTCTACCACTCACACCATATAGATGATGAGGGACAGATGAAAGATGTCATGTGGGTGGATGCTCGTAGTAGGGCAGCGTATGAGTGTTTTAGAGACGTGGTGTGCATGGATGCAACTTATTTGACCAATGAGTATGAGCTTCCTTTCGTAAATTTTGTTGGTGTAAATCATCATCGGCAATCTATTTTGTTAGGATGTGCATTGGTATCACATGAAGACACGGACACTTATGCTTGGATAATTCGTCAATGGTTGGCATGCATGAGTAATAAGCCATTCGAAAGGCGTTGACGCTGGAAATGCTAACCGCTCGTCACCGTTGGTGCATTTGGCACATCATGCGGAAAATCCCTGAGAAGTTAGGAAAATGTTATGGGTAAGTTAGAATATGTGTTTTAAATATTCCAAAACCCATATGTACTTCACAATAAGTTATTTTGCAACACGCTATTTTTTAATAGTAAGCATCGCTAATACTTTATCATATACATATGCTTGCATTCAACAAATCTAAATTCAATGTGCCTGTTTACAATAATTAGTTGCCTTACCTGAATGTGTTTGTTGTTTGAATTATGTAATTGAAATTAAGGTAATTGGGAAGTCAGACTTGCGCTGGGCTAGTGAGACTGACATTGTCTATAGGTATAATGTGATTTAAAAAAATTTCTAGGTATTGCCAATCTTCTGGGCTGTGTTAAATTTCAAGTCTGTCAGGTGTAAAATCACGTCTCCTCTGTGCTAGGATGTAAAATCTGTTTGGTCTTTGCTTGAAGTTCTATATTGTTGTGTTGTTCTAGTTTGTATATTCTGTGTTGGATGTAACACATTTGGTGTTAGAGTATTAATGTCCTGGTTCATAATTTTCTTGAACTTTTTGATATTTGCTGTTTCGTATTGATGTTTCATAGTCCCTTATTGATATTTCACAGTTCCTGGATCTTTGTTTTTATGCTTTTGTTATTGTCTATTTGATATATTTTCTGTGATATAATTTCTTTGAGGGTTATGGAATATCCAGGTACATGGACTTTAAAAGCTCGCTGAAGGCTCTTGTATATGAAAGTTTCAAACGAGGAATTTGAAAACAGATGGAACTCATTGATTACAACATACAAATTGGAGGAAAATCAATGGTTAACCGATCTTTACGACGAGTGGCATATGTGGGTTCCTTCGTTCATGAAGGAGCACTTTTGGGCCAGAATGAAAACAACACAGCGAGTGGAAAGTATTAATAGCTTCTTTGACGGCTTTTTTTAATAGGAGTACAAAGTTGTATGAGTTTCCAATGAAGTACACCAGGGCAATGACAGAGAGGGTGAAGGACGAAACTAATGCTGACGCCGGGTGCTCCATGTACATTCGGCGCCTTGTAAGCGGGTTCAAGGTGGAGAAATTGTTCCAGAAAATTTATACAGACGCCAAATTCCAAGAAGTCCAAAAGAGTGCCCGTATGATGTATGTCTACCCTAGGGATGAGTGGTAAGTCGAAGAAAATGTTTTCCAGTACACGTTGGGGGATCGGGTTTGGATGATCCCCGAAGGATCAAAGATGGAAAAACTGACTTACAGGCCCAGGTTATATTGTGTAACTTGTAACACTTTGACTAAGGATGTATCATGTGATGGTAGGAAATTTGAAACGTTTGGTATTTTGTGCAAGTATAGAATTCGTGTTCTTGATCAGAACTTGGTGTTTGAGATTCCAAAGAAGTACATCCTTGATAGGTGGAGAAAAGACATCGTGAGGAAGCACACTAGAGTTAAAGTCCCTTACTATGACCCTTATGAGACGCTACAGGTTTAAAAGTTCAACCGTTTGATGAGTCAGTTTGAGTCTATTTGTAACGAAGCTTCCACTGCAAATGAGGAGACAATTGAACTTGTTTTACAGAGGCTAACTCAGCTTGCAGACAAAGTTAAAAAGAGAAAGGCTTCTTTTCAGGAAAAGTAGGTTCTTCCTCCATGCCAAAAGCACCCATCCCTCCATCTGAGATAGGTTTAAACAATCCATGTTCTAACACCCAAGAAGGCCAACATGTTACTCTGGCATCTGTTACTTAACCTAGTTCGCAGCAGACCAATGTTGCTATTAAGGATCCTAAGACTAGAAAAAAACCATGTGGACGACCAAAGTCAACTAGGTACAAATCATTGGCAGAAAATGGGTACAATAACCAAAAGGCGAAGCAGAAAACTGTTGTTGAACCAACTCAATAAAAAAAAACCTGTTAGTTACTATCTGTTTGTTTGAGTTATTTGCAGACATGTTTCTTCAATTGAAAGAATTTGAAATGAAAAATCATTCATAAACCAATAAGCTTGAAATTTAAAGCATACATGCAAATTTTTAATCTTATTGAGCGTTTTATCCACGCATTAATATTAGTCCCTTTTAAGCGAGAATAAAACGATTCCAGGATCCCAAAAATCAAAAAGTGATTAGGCATGCTTTAGTTTGTCTTAACACTTAATATTTTAGGGTAAGAAATCCAATTGCAAATAGCTCTAAGCTACTCTTGGTCCGACAAAACGTCGCATCTAATGCTTCCTTGACAATTTATATCCATTGCCACGATATCTAAGGAATCTTTACTGTTATCGTTGAGCTTAATTAAGACCAACTTGTATACCTAGTATGCCTTACGTTACTATGGAAGTAGTGATGCCTCGCTTTGGCGTAGCCTATCACTACGCGCATTAGTTCGGTAAGTGTTGTTCTTGGAATGGCAAATTTGGCTCAATATTATAGGGACCTAGGGTTTCTATGTTGGTTGATTTAAGTGAACTTAATTAATCATCGCAACATTTGAAATGCTAAACATGCATCTATCATACGATTCAATCATATATAAACACAATTATATATATAGAAAACATAAGTAAAAGATGCATTTGGCAACTAGCATTGATTAGGGGATTTTTCCCCACCAATCACCATCTGACAAGTGGACCAATCAGGTTCCGCCATGTGTCCGTCACATGGGCCAATAGGAGCCTGCCACGTGTCAAGCAATGATCCGTCCACTATGGACCAATTACGACACGACACGTGTCCTTCCCATGACACCTGGGATAACCGGTCACCTAGGCCCAACTTCCGAGGGAAGCCCAATCAGCCCAAGGTTAACCTAAACCTAGATTGACACGTTTCCCGAGGTTATAAATACCTCCCTTAATCCTCATTAAGGGAGATTACGTTAAAAACGCAGATTACACACATTAAACACTCTCACCTAGAGAGACCCAATCACTTTAATTTCTGCATTAATTACTCCTTAATCAAGTACTAACTTGACCGTCGGAGGCGAATCTTCAATCATCCGGAGCATCCGTTTGTTTTGCAGGTACAGGCGTCTGGTTCCAGTCTCGGAATTGTAACTCTCCCGCAGGACATCAGAAAAACCCGAAACATCTTGGCGCCGTCTGTGGGGAGAGTACTTATGAGATGGCATCCACGTTTGTACCGGCTCCTGAAGAGAGACGTCCCCTGGACGACCCTCTAGTTCAGTCGGACCACGATACTGAGAATGAATTTGAAGTTGCAGCTCACACAGCTTCAGACGGGACCCTAAGGGCCCGACGTACCCGTCATACCGAAAGGAGGGAACGGGAACATCTTCAAACTGGAAGCGAGCCAGCAGGCGCACCGCCTGTTCGGCAGCAGCCGACTGATGGGTCTGCTCCCATCACAAGGAACGAACTCATGACCTTCATGAGGGACTTCAAGGGAGAAATTCAAGAGTTGATCAACAAGAAGCTGCCTGCTCTGGACAAGGAGCAGTCGGCTAAGAAACCCTCCACTTCACGGAAGAGGAAACCAGTTCAAGGGCGAGAGGCGACCCCTCATCCTAAATCTAGGAAGTGGGAGCCACCTGCCCTTGATTTCACAAAATACCGTTTTCCTACTCCAGGAAATAGGAAACCTGTTCGTCATATTCAGGCGGACGGGTCGAGGAAAACATACACAGACGCTCGGCTACTGCTAGAGCAGAAGAAGAGTGACCGATTGTCAGAGTCGGTCTCTACTTCAAACATCCAAGACAGTCTGCGAAATACCTCGATGAGGCATACTCAGTCGAATCATGAGAGTCAGTCAGGCGGCACCTCCCGTCAGTCCGGCTTTCATAGCGACCAGGCGGTACCAAACTTACCGTTTGTACCGCAACAACAGTATTTTTTACAGCCACCTCCGTTTGGTGGACATGCAGCAAAAAATGTCCAACCTATGGACTGGCAGCTACAGTTGCTTAGACTTGGTGAACAGCCGTCGGCCTTCTCCAAGGAAATTACTGAAGCCGCTCAGCCGGCCAAAGTGAAAAATGTATTAGTAGGCGCCTATGACGGCACTACTAACCCAGAAGACCATATGATGGCATTCACCAACCTGATGTACCTTCAAGGGTTGGATGATCCCACTTGGTACAAGTGTTTCCCAGCGACTCTCAAAGGAATCGCTCAACAATGGTTTGGCAACCTGCCGACTGGTTGTGTAAATAACTTCAAGACGTTGCTTACTTATTCACCTCCAACTTCGCCATGAACATCCCTGCGAAGAAGACGACCCTTGATTTAGGAACAATTCAGCAGGGCGAGAAGGAGGGGCAAGAAAAATAGACGCCTGTTCCGATTCATAATTGATAGTGAGTCAGTATAATGGCGAATACGAAGCAACCCATCCGGCCATGATCAAGTATTTACAGGCGGTCCGACAAGCAGTCGGCTCCCTTGAGGATTTCCATCTGACCCAAGTGCCGAGATTAGAAAACAAGGGAAACACACACAAGATCAAATAAACTATGCCATTGCGAACAAATCAAATTAAGCACGGAATGAAATCAATGGATCCTACTTAGAACAACCATGCACGGAAGGAAAACTCACTCAAACAAGCAACGAGACACACAATCCAAGATATCGTTGATCAAATGCGAACAAGACCTAAAACCAAGCATAGAGAACAAAGAAATCATGCTTCCCTCTAAACCCGACCAAACCGGCCACGTCCTCCCCTTTTGCTTTAAATCACCACCCTAATTGGCCCCTCGTGATTCCTCGAAGGAACCGGAAGAAGTGATGTTTTGAGGAAATAACAAAGGTATCCCGACATCTCGATTACGCATAATCTTTCCATAGGGTTGAAAGGTATCTCCGTCCAACGTTTGAGAACCGAACACCTCTAAAGTCTAAGGGTCTTAAAGGGTTGTAATGTATTGGCAATGGGTAAGGTAGGTGAAAACAATTTAAAAAAAAGTGGGGTTAATTCCTAAATGAAGCGCAAGAATCACAATTCTCAAAAACAATAGTTCAAAATATGTAATTCACTTTCCACAATCTCATTGATTCACATTCTTACACATCCCAAATTATCCATATAATACACACTCAAATGACCTCTTTCAAACTTCAAAACTTTATTTATGTGTCCTTGCCTTTTTCACAATTCGGACGGCTTTTCTCTTCTTCTTTTTTTTTTCTTTTTAAATTCTTTTTTTTTCTTCCTTTTTTTTTTCTTTTTTTTTATTGATGGCAAACTGACTTTCACATTACATATTTACAATTAGGCTCACTTTCACACCTGCTCAAACCAACTATCTAACTTTATTTCTTGATTAGTAAACAATAAGCTCAACAAACCTATCTAGGTAAACGCTTCACAACTAAGGGTTGGTAAAACATTGGCCATCGGGTTTGTAACACGGTTAACCAAGAATGGAATTACAGCTTAACATGGTTAGCAAGTAAGATGATGTAAAAAGAAAATCAATTTGTAACAAAACAAAAGGAACAAAATAAGAAAAATGAAAAAGGTGCCCTCTTCCTCCCTTAAAAGTGTCAAGTCGGTCTCGGGAGCTACTAGTCAACACAAAGATCGAAAATGCGTAATCAAGGATCCAAATATGCCACTCAACAAGAATGATGAAGGCTAGAACAAATAAACCTCACGGGATCTAACAAATAAAGCAACTACCAATTAAGGGGATCAAATCCACAAATGGGAAGCGACTCCATCTTACCACAATTCAATGGCTTAGAGTTTCACATGATAACAAACGTTCTAACCAACTACCTTCGCCTAGACTCGTCTACATTGATCAACAATAGACTCAAACTGTGTATTCATCACTGGCTTAAGTAGAAATAGATATTCCACACACATTCATTCACGTTTCGAATCCAAATATGAGCATTATTCCAAAAGTTTATGCAATTAGACAAGTTTATCACGATCCAAAAATATAGGAAAAGACTATGAGGCAAATCATATAAACTAGACTACACATTCTCATAACAGAAGCTTTTCCTATATTACACACATATATAAACAACTAAGTAATCTAAACAAGCTAAATGGCTCATAAAGAGGCATGAAAATCACATAATAATCCCAATCGACAAACAAGTGATCAATTGATATCAACATCAATGATCCCAGGTTCTTTAGAACCGATCAAACATCCTCGAACCATTCAACTTCTTCCTAAACTAAACTATCCTAAGCACACAAAAACAAAAAAAACTAAAGGAAAAAGGGAAAGATTTCACCAAATGCTTCTTGAAAACACACTAAGACAACATGAGATGCGGCGAAGCTTCTAATGCTACCTCCATGAGTCTTCATATCTGCACAGGTTAGATAGAAACAAACCAAAACGAAACCA